ACTGCCCAAGAGCCTGCAAAGTGACAAGCCAGACTTCAAAACTGTAGTATCTCAAAAAGTCTCCTCAGTTCTGAGAATACAGTACCACCTCCATCGCTCTTAAAGACCGCAATCCTCAAGCAAAGTAGAGAGAGCAAAATGAAATTCTAAATCAACACCTAAAAAAGCTGACCCAAAAAGTCAGTCTCCCTTAGATCACCGTCCTTCTTACTGCATTCATATGAGTCAAAAATACTCCCCAGCGAGCAAGCTTTAGTTCCTTTAAGTTGCTATATAGTAAGCCTTTCTTTACCAATGACTTCCTCCTCAACACAAAAACAGCTGCACAAGTAAAGCAAGCCACCTCCCTAGCCCAATTCCAACAAACTCTCCAAAAGCTAGAAACAGCCTGAAAGAAGAAAAACATCCTCTTTTTGAGCCAAAACACTTAAGACTCTTAATTAAGACAGTGCCCACTACCAGTCCTTCTCTTGCCCTAATCTGAAAAAAGACCGCATAGAATAATTCTCTCCACTCCCACGGCAGCAAAAGTAACGGGACATGAGTCATAAATACATCACTCCAAGCTAAAGCCCCGAGTGCCTAAAAAAGCAAGCCCCACTTTAAACAATGAAAACTCCCTGCCCCATTATCCCTGCAATCCTGTAGAAAAGCTGAAATATCTTTCTAAGTGACAAACACCTAAGATAAGTACTCCATACTCCAGAGTCCTTAGTCGCTTTTAGCATCACTTTAAGAGTAAAACTTGTTATTCTCATTACTCTGTTATGGTAATCCCCCTCCCATTAGCCAGCAATATTGCTGCCATTAAGTTTAAATCTTAAAAAGCAAGCCTTAAACCTGCCATTATTACTATTAACCCCCTCCTTATTAGATCTTCTTCTAGCAGCAGTACACCCCCTAACTCCAGTAATTAACAAGACTGCTAATCTAAGTAACCAAACCAGTTGCTAAATCTGTCTCTGCCGAGAGCATCTAAAAGATAGTATGTCTCCTCGGCATTCTGATGTTACTAACAACAATTGCTAATACCATAGCACAATAATAAAGTTTTTCTTATACAACTTACACTATCACCAAAAATGATAGCGTTCGTAGACGCCCACAGCCCCTCAATCCACAGTAAACCGTTTCATCACCAGCTAAAGTAAACAAAGTCCAGTGCCTAGCTACCAAAGCCAGCCTGAGCTTCTCTAATTCCTACAGCACCCAGTCTCTCTTAAAAATCCTCAACTTTTCTTTTCATAATACCACCTTTATATATATCATACCTTTCATGAGTGAAAACCACAATTCCAGAGAAATTCCACTAAAGAAAAAGAAGACTTTGATGTCTATAACCTTAACTACACCATCATCTGAGAGCCACATTTCCAAGGCAATGCGTCTGGCCTCTAATTATGGTAGAGCAATAATAAATTAATTGCCACCAACCATTATGCTAACAAAGCTTGGGCTGTTGTGCCCAAAGTCACGAATCCCAGAAGACCACCAAGGAGCCAACCACGATGCAAAAGCAAAGAGCCTTTATTAGAGCTAGCTCGAGCTCAATCTCTCATCTACACCAACGCAGTGGCAAGATGTCAGAGAAAGAGAGTGAGTTTCAGTACCACAAAGGTTTTATGGGGTTCTAGGGCAGTTGGTGAGGTGATGGTCGTGGCTCTGGCTGATTGGCTGGATCTAGGGGTAGTTGGTGGGGTGATAGGTCGTGGCTCTGGTCAATTGGCAGGGTCTGAGGGTGTTGGGTGAGCTCTTTGCTGATTGGAGAGGAGAGACCAAGCTCTGATTGGGTGAAATAGGATCCACGTCCTGATTGGCTGAGGTAGGATCTGGGTCCCAATTGGCTGAAATAGAATCTGGGAGCTTGCCCTTTCAGGGCCATAGTTGTCAATTCATTAAAGCAAGAAACTCTTAGCATAAAAACGGAAACAGAGACAATCCTCAGCATTTCCAGTAGCAATCCCCAACCTCCCCACCCCCTTTAATGCCATTCAACTCACTTTCAGAAGCCTTTACTGTCAGATTCCTCATACCCATAACCAATCCCTCACCAGCTTCTCTCCCCTGCATGCAAACATTTCACCGGCATATATCCCTCTACTTTTGACCTCTTAAGAGCAATGAGATCCCTCTATTTTAGCCAATTATATTAGCCTCCCAACATCACACAAATGTGCTTAGCCACAAAAATAGACTATTCTAAAGTCATGCTGACTAGAACAAACTATTCTTCCTTTATAAAACTGATGCGTACCTGACCCTGCCTAGGAAATAGAAAAAGCAGTGCACAATAATTGCAGCTATACCTGATGTATTAACTTTTAACAGTACCTCCTTCCCCACCTCTGAGCAGCAGCCTAACCTGAGCTCCTTCTTAAATGTGTCACTGCAACACCAGTCTAAAAGAAGCCTAGTGCCCCAGATCCCTAATTTCACCAGGCTAGCCACAAATAACCCAATATTAAAATCAAATAGCCTAAAATACTCAATATTATGTAGCCTCTTTCAGTTTATAGAGATTCCTGAACTCAAAAAAAACAGTAAAAACTTTTCTCTAGTAATGCAAAGCACCTAAATAGTGACAGTAGCTGCCATAGAAGCTCAGCAAAAAGCCTTAAACTCCTTAGTTCAAGGGGTCCTCCAGAATAGGAGAGCCTCAGATGTGCTCACTGCCAAAGTCAGTAGCACCTGTGCTATGCTCAATGAGACCTGCTGTGTTTATATTAACACATCAAGACTAGTAGGAAAAAATCTAGAGAAAATCAAACAGAATATCCATCTCTTTAACAAGCTTACAAAAAGAGAAATATTAAACTTCTAGCTAAGCCAAATCTTCAAATCTCCCATGGAGTAAATGCAGCCCTAATTAGCACCCTTCATTCCCCTCCTTAAAGAAATAGTATTTGCTCTCATATTCAGACCATGTTTACTTAATTTTCTAATAAAGTTTATCTCTCCTTGTTCTGAGTCCATCAAGTTCCAGATAGTGATGCAATAAAACGCCCTGTAACAGTCCCTCACAACTGTTATCAACTGCAAGCCACTAGGTAGGCCACTCAGAGAGTGAACTGCCATTCCCTAGCAGTTGTCCATTGCCAGCAAAAAGTAGCTCAGGCAGTCTTCACCCTTCTCCTAATGACAGTTAGAGTTACCTCTTCTGAGAAGAGATGGAAGCAAGTGTTAGTGGGATGCAGGCAGATAGAGCTCAAGGTCCCAGTAAGTTATAGTCAGAGTCAAGGATTTGTAATAAACAAGAAGCCTCATCCTGAACATTTGGCAAAATTCAGCCTGAAAAACAATAGAGTTTCCCAATCTCATCTCGGCCCTAGCAACAGGCCACAGCAACAACTCACAGCCAACTGCATAAATTTAGTCCATTTTTGTGCTTATAAACTCTAGACATTGCAGCCCGAACAGCATCCTCCCTTAAAGTCCCTCCCAATTAGCAGGAGTCTTTTTCCTTCCTTTTCACTCATTGAAAGTTTTGCTAGTTGCTCCATACTTTTGTCTACTAGCTTCATTCATCACCTCCAAAACACAATCCCAAAAAGAACAGCAGCATCTCAGCCAGTAACACTACAGTATGAGAGAATATATTTGTAAACAACTCATCTAATAAAAGGTTAACATCCAAAATATATAAAGAACTTATATGCCTCAACACTCAAAAAACAAATAACCCAATTAAAAAATGGGCAGAGGACTTGAACAGACACTTCTCCAAAAAGGAAATACAAAAGGCCAACATGAAAAGATGCTCCACATCACTAATAATCAGGGAAATGCAAATTAAAATTTGTGGAATGTAAAAACAAAGCAAATGAACAAAACAGCAGTAGACTCACAGAGATTGAGAAGTGACTAGTGGTTACCAAGGGGGAGGGGTTGGTGTGGGTTGGTGTGGAAGCTGAGGGTGATAAAGAAGCACAAAAATTGTCAATCATAATATAATCGTAATAGTACAGCATGGAAAATATAGCCAATGATTCTGTAACATCTATGTTGACAGAAAGTAACTGACTAGCGGGGGGTGAGGATTTAATAATATGGGTGACTGTTAAACCATTGTGTTGTGTATTTGAAACTAATATAAGATCATATATCAATGATGCTTCAATAAAAAAAAAAAAAAAGCACAGACTCTAAAGCCAGAATGCCTGGGTTTGAATCTCAGCCTTTGAAAAACTACTTAACTCCTCTGCACCTCAGTTTCTTCATCTATAAAACTTGTACATCACCATGTGTTTTATAGGGTGGATTAAACAAGTTAATATATGAAATGTGCCTAGATCTGTACCTGGCACACAGTAAGGAATATGTAAGTATTAGCTATTATATTAGAGGAAGGCATGTTTGAATAGACACTAGCTACCAAGTTATCATGCCATTTACCCATAATATCAAAAATGAAAAATTTTCTCTTATGTGGAAAAACATTCATATTTAATCATCAAAATTAAGGCAGAATAGCAATGACTCTAAAAGAAAAAAATGAACTGCTAGGGTTGAAGAGCTACTGTAAGAGTAAAAATGATTTGTTCAGTTTTTACACTGATGAGTCTGAGAGACCTCAAATAAGCAAATAAACAAGTACTGGCTTAGAACACACAACTACTTGATCTTTACTTATCACAACCTAGTTCAAAAGTACATAAAAAGTACTCTAAAGTGCCTCCCCCAAGACATGATTATATTAAAGCAATCAAAATTCTTGAATCTTTAATTATTATGAATGTCTATGACATGTCTAAACATTTCTTTTTATTTCACTTCATATACAGTAGTGTATTATGAAATAACATAAATGTTTCTTGTGAGTGAAATTATGCAGGAGCCCATCATCCTGGGTTTTTATTACACAAAGTAAAATAGAGTCTAAGGTCTTACAACAAATATAAACATCACATAAAGATGAAGTAGGTATCATGTCAGCACCATTTTGGAAGTTCTGCTACTTTTAAGAATTTAAAATTTGCCTCACGTGCTTTGTTGGGACTTACCTAAAAGAATTGCCATAGGAATCAGATGACCTTCCAGTGTACCTGAAAGGTTAGGCATTTCTCTGCTTGGGCTGAACAAATACTGTTGATCACCAGGAGGCAGCGTAGCAACGGAATGTTGCAGTTTAGAATCCATCTTAGTAGGTTTTGTTGCGTAAAAGTCAGTCTGTGTTCTTATTGACTTGACTTTAGTACCTGTAATAATCATCAATGGCAGATATTTTAAAATATTGAACATCTACTATCCAGTCATCTAGAAAAACAGGAAATGTTCTTCACAGAAAGTCTCATTTTATATAATAAGGTTACAAGGCCCCAAATAAAAGTAACATAAACCAGGGATTGACAAACTTTTCATACATGGCCAGAAAGCAAATATTTCAGTCTACTGGAACATGCGGTCTCAGCTGTAACATCTCAGCTCTGCCTGTACTATGACAGAATAGATACAGTGAATAGGAAAAAAATGTTGAATAAATAAGCAGAAGAATATTCAGACTATATTATTTAACTTACTACATTTTATTTTCCTGTAAGTACAAAAAAGTTAATGATCATTTTTGGAATTGGATTTTTTTCATTCTCTCACAACACTCTTACTTACGACATAGTTCTGAATAAACAGCCTTTATCCTTTGAAATTATGTAAAGACATTCAAATTGTATACCTATTAAAACCTTACAGAAGCTAATATCATTATATATTTTTTTCCTATTTCTATAAAGTACATCTATATAGAAATTAAATCCTGAATACTTAAAATATTAAAAATCTGTCTGATTATCTGTCTCTCTGGAGAAGATAATTTCTATGGAATCAGAAAAAAGTAAAAGTGTAAAGAAAAACCAAAATATTTTCTGAATAAATTTTTGACATTACTCATTTTTATTTTGTTAGTAGTTTGATGAATCTAGAATTTTAAATACAGTTTCATGATCCCAGGAAGAAAAATTTTACGACTACATCAGTATTTTTTCATCCTATTATTCAGGATTCATTCATTCAATTGAATGAATATTTTTCTGGAGTGTTTATTTAAAATAAATTTTTCAGCATGTAGTTAGTATTAGGCATCAATCTAGATACAGGGAATACAGTATGGAGTAAACTTTATAGGAAAACAAAAAACAAAAATGTAACATCAGATAGTGAAAAGTGCTGTAAGATAGCACCAGATAGCAATAAGGCAGGACAAGGAGATAGAGAGGGATAGGAGGTAGTTTTTGGATAGGAAGGTCAGGGTAGACCTCTTTAAGGAGCTAACATCTAAAAGCTAAGATTGAAAGAACTGAGAATGAGACATACAAATGTCTGAGGGAAAAGCTCTCTGGGTAGAGGAAATAGCAGGTACCAAGGCCCAAGAATGAGTGTATGTCCACAGGCTCTCAATCACTCAGTCACTTCTACCAGTAAGTAATCTGTGGATCTGTAAGTATTTTAAAACCTCAAGTTATTTTCTGCAAAGGCTTTCAAAATCCCAACTATAAATTAATAGCAAAGCTCTAATAAATAAAAGGAAACATTAGGATAAATATTACCCCTAAGCTATATGCTTAACTGAAATAACGTCAACTAGGATTTCTAGACAAACTGACATCCTGCGTGAGTGTCTAACTTTTAGAATGAAAGAGAAGGAAAATTAAACCAGGTGTCATGGCTCCAACTTCCAGAAAGGATAAGAAAAATAAACGAGTTGGTATCCACTAGTTAACATATACCATCAAAGCGGCATACTGACCGCTAAAGTACAAGTTGAGAAACCTCAAAATGCAATAAAGATCAACAGACTAGATATTTAAGAGTTGTATTTAGACATACTAGTGAAATGGTAAATGTGAGTCAAAACATACAGTGATATATGAACTCATTTTTAGTTATGTACAAAAGCACACTCCCAAATTTTTTACCTTTGCTACTTATGGCTCTTTGAGAACACACAAGCAAAACTGCAAAAATGCTCAGAAGCACTTCTATGACAATACGCAGCTATGGCTGATCCTTCTGTTCATAAAAGACATGACGGAACAAGGTCTTCAAAGAAATGTCTGCTTTCTGCAGATTAGAATTTAAATTATTCAAGACTCATCATTTGATAAATGTAAATTTTATTATGCTGGAACTGAAGCATCTAATCCTATATTTTGACGCACTTATGCTTATCTTGTGCTATGAATATGGTCTATTTTTCCTGCTCTCTTAGAAGGAATTGTTTTTCCATCCCTAAGCATTATATAATTTTAACTGTATAAGTAATAAATAAAGAACCAAAATTAAACTTTGCAAATTAAACTGATACTATGAAAAATGAAGTTTACCTCAAAACAACAAGGTTCCTTACCTTTAACTTGTTCTATGACTTTTGGTCTCTGTATTTTAGACTTAGGAGATGGAGAATTAAATCGGAGATAGGGCCCTTTTTTAAGAGTGCTGCGATGACCCTGATAAACTGGTTTTCCATAAATTTGTAACATATAATCTTCATCTTGTACCACTGTGGTTGCTTTCAAAAATCCCTAAGTACACAAAGTAAACAGTCATCACTTATTTCATTTTTCTAAAGCCTCCTCTCACCAGCTTAAGTACTATAATAAGAATGATCAGGTCAGAAAAGTCCTCTATTTTAAATGGCTCTTAAATTCCAGTTTTCAAACTATAGTTGTAAAGTTCTACGGCTTTCAAAAGCATGAAAATTAAATATGAAAAACATACACTCAAGAAACATGAAGGTTCTTACAACTACTAAGTATATTTTCAGTACCACAAGGACTTAAAAATATTTTATATATTTATTACATTCAAGTACAATAATGTAACATATATTTTTAAATGGTTTTCTACTTTACTGATCCCAACTTCAATCATAATCTAAATCTCACAAAAAGTAGCACTATTGAGCATTAACTAAGTACTAAGCATTGAATTAGATGCTTTATTAATATGTTCAACAATCCATGTTTGGCATTAATAAAGTTACATCTTGGAGTAGCCAAAGACATTCCCTCCATAGTATCTAGTACCATGCCTCACAATCATACATTTGTTAAATTGAAAAATAAACAAAAAGTCGTAAATATATATAAACAATAATGAAATTCAATTTTGACTACCATGAACCATAGAATCTAATTTTTGGACTAGATGAATTCTAGATATACCTGTTATAATTAAAACATTGTGATTCAAAGTGTGAGATCTCAGAAGGAAGAAATTATGAGTTTTATGCAGTGCTTTTCACGTTATGGGTATCCAAAACCACCAATATCAATAGTTTGAAGATAGTTTGCATTCATATAGTCCTTCATATTCTAAAAATATTTACATATTCGATTAATTACCTATATCTTAAAGGAAATGATCAATTATAATGTAACATTAATGTCACAAAACCAGAGTAGGATCTTACTTCTTTTCTTTCTTTCTGTAAGCTTGAAGCAGGCATGCTCCTCCAAGGTGTATTTCTAAAATGTTCCTCTTTTTGTTTTAGAACATGTTTCCTTGGAATTACAGAATTTTTTATCATTTTGTTTTGGATGTTGTTTTTAATATCTTTACCCATATTCTGAGCTTTCTTGGTCCTTGGATTGGTCTGACCAAATTTCTTTTGTTCATAATCTTTCCTTGCCAGTTCATCCTTAACATAACCAAAATTAAATTTACTTAAAATATACGCAAATAGTAATGCTTTTACATCAAAAGTATTAGATTTTATTTCCTGGTCCTATGAAATATAGCTTAGCACTTTTAAACACTTTATAAATAAATGACATTGGCTTAAATGTGAACAAAAATTCTCTGGAAGAATAAACTAAAAACTAAACAAATTAATATCTTAGATAGGGTACAGGATAGGAAGGCAACTTTTCATTACAAGCCTTTTTATACTTTTTGGTGTTTGAACCATATGACTATAGGAACTATTCAAAAATTAAATTAAAAATAAGTGTCCAAAAAAGTAAACTTTGCGATAAAACTCTGAAATGAATATTTATAAATTAAAACTTTTTGAAAACTTAAACACATTTTCCATGGAATTAACAGTAATAGAGTGACATATATTGCTAGTTGTCTGCAGAGCCAGAAGTGATCTCCAAGTCTTTTGACTCTTAGTTCAACTTGTCTTCTGCTGTATCCTATAGTAGGTAATATAAATTCTTCATAATCACATTAGATGTAGTCTTAAACAACAAAGTTTAGAAATATATTTCAGTGTTTATTGCTGTGGAAACCAAACAACACTTCACCTTGCTACCATGGTGAAAAAGCATATACACAAATCTTAAAATCAGAGAAAAACACTTTGCACATCAAGATAAAAATAACAGGGCAATCCTGATAGTGTTACTCCCTCAAATATATAAAATTTTAAGAATTTCCTCAAAAAGACTGGGATATTCTCAAGGTGGCAGAGTGAGTAGGGTGGCAGAAATCTCCTCCCAAACCATATATATTTTGAAAATACAGCAAATACAACTATTCCTAAAAGAGAGACCAGAAGATACAGGAAAACAGCCAGGCCACACCTACATCTGCAAGAACTCAGCATCTCACAAAAAGGGTAAGATACAAAGCCATGACCTGATGGAACCCGAGCACTTCCCCAACCCCAGCTCACCAGCAGGAGGAAAAGAATCAGAGTGGGGAGGGACTGGAAGCACAGGAATGCTAAATAACCAGCCCTAGTAATCTGCACTGGGAGAAGAGACACACATTGCATGGTGTACTGGATATTAGAGAAACCAAAAGCTAAAATCCAAGACTAAGACTGCAAACAGGTCCCCACAGCTGGCTGCCCTGTGACAAAGGAAAAGTGGGTGCTTTAAAAGTCTTAAAGGGACAAGGGTTTAACAGGTGGACAAAATCATCCTGGCACACTGAGCCCAGCAGGCTGGGAACTTTAAAGAACTTCAGGGGGCACTAATCCCCTGGGTGGCAACACAGCTCTGAAGCCCTTCATGGCAATAAGCAGCCTGCCGTTCATTTCCCACTGACAGCACTCCAAGCAAACCGGCTGACCCACCATTGCTGCAGACCAGCCGGGAGCAGCCCCACCAACAGAAACCACACAGAGACTTCTCCTAGCAAGCAGCTAACCAGCCCAGACCCACAGGTCTAGTATGAAGCTGCCGGGCAGAGACGGCACAGAGCCTGAAAGGCACAAAGGGGCTTTATTCTCACAGTGAACACATGCTACTCGCTTGCAACTCCTGCCAGTGCCCTAGGCCATCCCCAGGGCCACCCGACCACGGCAGCTTAGGGGATAAACCCAGAGGCTACCCCCTGCTCCCGGTTGACCAGCACAGGCAAAGGAAGCCAGCACAGAGTCCAGAAGGCACATAGGGGCTCTGTTCTCATGGCGAACATGTGCTGATCACCTGCAACCACCACCAGTGCCCTAGGCCATCCCAAGGGCCACCACCCACGGCAGCTCAGGGGATTAACCCGGACACTGCCCCCTGCACCCGGTTGACCGGCACAGGCAGAGAAAGCCAGCAGAGAGTCCAGAAGGCACAGAGGGGCTCTGCTCTCATGGCGAACATGCATTGATCACCTACAACGACGGCCAGAGGCCTAGAGCATCCAGAGGGCCACCCACCCACAGCAGCTCAGGGGATCAACTCAGAGGCTACTCAATGTGTGCAACTGCCCAGCACAGCGGAGACTGGCACAGAGTCCAGAAAGGAAAAAGTGGTGATGTTCTTGCACGAGAACACATGCCACTTGCCTGCGACCCCCAGCAGTGCCCTAGGCCATCCTGAGGGATGCCCCACCCACAGCAGCTGAGGGTATTAACCCAGAGACTGCTTCTTGTATGTGGTTGACCAGCAACAGGCAGCGGAGACAGGCAAGGCAAACAGCAAGCAAGATGGGACTTTGTTCTCCCAGCTGACACAAGTGCCACCCACTGGCGATCACTTCTATTGCCATGAAAAGGCAGAAGAACCTGGTTCAGTCCAAAATCAATCAAATGCTAGAGAGAGAGCCTGTTGAGACCGAGACAACCAAACTTCCTGAAAAACAATTCAAAATAAAAGTCATAACCATGCTGATGGAGCTGCAGAGAAATATGCAAGAGATAAGGGATGAACTCCAGAGGGAGATAATAGAAATAAAACAATCTCTGGAAGGATTTAAGAGCAGACTGGATGAGGTGCAAGAGACTGTTAATGGAATAGAAATAAGAGAATAGGAACACAGAGAAGCTGAGGCAGAGAGAGATAAAGGATCTCTAAGAATGAAAGAATATTAAGAGAACTGTGTGACCAATAAAACCAGAACAATATTTGCATTATAGGGGTACCAGAAGAAGAAGAAGAGAGAAAAAGGGATAGAAAGTGTCTTTGAAGAAATAATTGCTGAAGACTTCCCCAATCTGGGGAAGGAAATAGTCGCTCAGAACATGGAAGACCACAGATCTCCCAACACAAGGGAACCAAGGAGGATAACACCAAGACATATAATAATTAAAATGGCAAAGATGAAAGATAAGGACAGAGTATTAAAGGCAGCCAGAGAGAGAAAAAAGATCACCTACAAAGGAAAACCAATCAGGCTATCATCAGACTTCTCAACAGAAACCTTACAGGCCAGAAGAGAATGGCATGATATATTTAATGCAATGAAACAGAAGGGCCTTGAAGCAAGAACACTGTATCCAGCAAGATTATCATTTAAATTTGAAGGAGGGATTAAACAATTCCCAGATAAGCAAAAGTTGAGGAATTTACCTTCCACAAACCACCTTTACAGGGTATTTTAAAGGGACTGCTCTAGATGGAAGCACTCCTAAGGCTAAATACATGTTATCAGAGAAAATAAAATCACAGCAAACAAAGCAGAACAACCAAATACTAACTAAAGGCAAAAAATAAAATCAGCTATCCACAAAAGCAGTTGAGGGAAACACAAAAGAGTACAGAATAAAACACCTAACATATAAAGAGTGGAGAAGGAAGAATAAGAAGGGAGGGAAATAAAGAATCATCAGACTGAGTTTATAGTATAGTAATAAGTGAGTTCAAGTTAGACAGTTAGATAGTAAAAAAGTTACCCTTGAACCTTTGCTAACCATGAACCCAAAGCCTGCAATGGCAATAAGTACATATCTATCGATAATCACCCTAAATGTAAATGGACTGAAAGCACCAATCAAAAGACACAGAGTAACAGAATGGATAAAAAAGCAAGACCCATCTATGTGTGGCTTACAAGAGACTCACCTCAAACCCAAAGACATACACAGACTAAAAGTGAAGGGATGGAAAAAGGTATTTCATGCAAACAATAGGAAGAAAAAAGCAGGGGTTGCAGTACTTGTATGAAACAAAATAGACTTCAAAACAAAGAAAGTATCAAGAGATAAAGAAGGACATTACATAATGATAAAGGGGTCAATCCAACAAGAGGATATAACCATTAAAAATATCTATGCACCCAACACAGGGGCACCTACATATGTGAAACAAATATTAACAGAATTAAAGGAGGAAATAGAATGCAATGCACTCATTCTAGGAGACTTCAACACACCACTCCAAAGGACAGATCCACTAGACAGAAAATAAATAAGGACACAGAGGCACTGAATAACGTGTTAAAACAGATGGACCTAACAGACATCTACAGAACTCTACACCCAAAAGAGGCAGAAAACACATTCTTCTCAAGAGCACAAGGAACATTTTCCAGAAGAGACCACCTACTAGGCCACAAAAAGAGCCTCAGAAAAAAATTCAAAAAGATTGAAATTCTACCAGCCAATTTCTTAGATCACAAAGGTATAAAACTAGAAATAAATTGTACAAAGAAAACAAAAAGGCTCACAAACACATGCAGGTTTAACAACATGCTCCTAAGTAATCAATGGGTCAATGACCAAATTAAAACAGAGATCAAGCAATACATGAAGACAAATGAAAACAACAGCACAATGCCCCAACTTCTGTGGGACATAGTGAAGGCAGTTCTAAGAGTAAAGTACATAGCAATTCAGGCCTATTTAAAGAAGTAAGAACAATCCAAAATAAACAGTTTAAAGTCACAATTACTGAAACTAGAAAAAGAAGAACAAATGAGGCCTAAAGTCAGCAGAAGGAAGGACATAATAAAGATGAGAGAAGAAATAAATTTGAGAAGAATAAAACAATAGAAAAAATCAATGAAACCAAGAGCTGGTTCTTTGAGAGAATAAACAAAGTAGATAAACCCCTAGCCAGATTTACTAGGAGAAAAGAAGAATCTACACACATAAACAGAATCAGAAATGAAAATGGAAAAATCATGATGGCCACCACAGAAATACAAAGAATTATTAGAGAATACTATGAAAATCTATATGGTAACAAACTGGATAACCTAGAAGAAATGGACAACTTTTTAGAAAAATACAACCTTCCAAGACTGACCAAGGAAGAAACAGAAAATCTGAACAGAACAATTACCAGCAATGAAATTG